TTTTTTAAAAAAGTTAAGTAGAATATTGATCCCTGTGCTTTGCCACTCCACTTGGGCACAATTTCCCAGAGTGAGAGCCAGGCCTTTGCAACTCAGAGTTCTAGGGATATACTGAAAAGCTAATAAATGTTTACTGAATGAACAAATGAATGAAGCATTGTATCAAAGGAGCAGGTTTGAATAAGATAGAAATGCCCTCTGATATAACTCAGTTGGTAGAGTGCTGGCCTCACATGCACAAGGCCATAAATTCAATGCCAGCACCAAGAGAGAGAGAGAGAGAAATGCACTTTGATACAAAGTTTGTTCCCCAGGGTGAATAAATAGGTAATGGCGCTGGTAGCAGTGGCTCAAACCTGTAATCCCAACTGCTGCTCAGGAGGCTGAGACAGGAGGATCATGAGTTCAAAGTGAGTCATTAAGCAATTCTGCGGGACCCTGTCTCTAAATAAAATACAAAATAGGGCTGGGGATGATGCGGCTCAGTGGTGGAGTGTCCCTGAGCTTAATCCCTGTACTCTCCCCCCAAAAAAGTTAATGGAATAAAAGAAATTACATTTCCTCAGAGGAAAACCACATCTGTTTACATTAAAGGATTGGATTTTTCATATTTAATAGAGTAGTGCTATTTTTCCCATATTTGCTTTTCTTACTTCCTGTGTTTATTTACTCATAACTTATCTCATTCACAAAGAATTTTACTACAGGAAAGTGTAAATCCAGGGGCCAGACTTATGCATAGAGATGCATGTCTTAGGTGTTACATGATGGAAAATTATTGCTGGACTCTTATTTTAGTAGACCACGCCATTGACATCTCTGAATGAAAGACACCTGAAATATAGTTCATTTACATACCATGCTCCACCTCCATCAGTCACTTTCATAACTGGCTATTCATACAATTTGTTATTAATTATTATTACATGACACAGTTTGATAGGACACATGAAAGCAATAATACACACATGGGTGTTTGTATTACTCAGATTAATGCAACAAAATCTCTGGATGCTGCCTTCTCATATATTAATATTTAGGAGCCTTCCAATGAATTCCTCATTACACTGACCAAGCCTGTACTGGAGGGGGATGTGGAAATGAGAGCTCTCATTCAATGCTCTTGGTAATGTAAGTTGGGACAAGTACATTGACGATCAACTCAGTGGTTTTTACTAGAGATGAAGAACTTCATATCCCATAAACGGGCAATTTCGATCTTCCACTTAGAACTCCAAAATACAAGTCCTCATGTGCATGACAACCATGGCTTCCACCATGGAAACTACATCACTGTCCATAAAGGACAATGACAGAGCTTGTGTCCATTAGTTTCATAAAATGGAATAGCACGCAGTGTTTTAATGGAATTGTATACATTGCGATGAATTCTTTTAAAAAAACATAATTTTAAGTGAATAAAATGTGCTTCAGATGCCATTTAAAATAACACTTATATAAATTAAGGAACAAATTTCTGGGCTGGGGTTGTGGCTCAGCAGTAGAGTACTCTCCTAGCATGTTCCAGGCCCTGGGTTTAATCCTCAGCACCACATAAAAATAAATAAATAAACAAAATAAAGGTATTATGTACAATTAAAAAATAAATATAAAAAAAGAGAAACAAATTTCTCTCATTCATACATATTTGCATATGTACCTATGTATATGTATAAATAAATATGTRTTTATGTTGTGTGTGTAATTTTTAGGAACACATAAAATCGGAGGCAGAAGAACCATAAACCTAGTGAAGTATTCCTAAAACTGGCTCATCTGGTCCTTGTTCTGCCCTCACCTGTAGGCTTACATCCTGCTTCATTTTGCCAGATGCTACCCAGAGCATATCAGTGTTTTTGTTTTGTTTTGTAACAGGTAGCATTGCTTTTCTATTACTATACAGATTTAAACAAATTGCAATCATTCCCCTGCAACTGAAAGAGACTATTTAGATAAACCTCTCTGCCATGAAAATGTAAAGTCAAATATCTAACAATTAAACTAGGGGTAAAATTCTGAACAATGGTGCACTATTGAATGGAAAACCCTCCAGAAACCGTTATGATATGTGCTGGAAAACTGCCAGAAGCAGGGGATAATTTTCTAAGAATTATGTTGCAATTTTTTCTCCACTTTGTTGATAAGGACTGAGGCTGGGGGATAATAGAGGCTTTTCTTTCAGGAGGGGCCAGGACAGGAACACAGAGCTCTCTAGGTAGAGGCGGAGGCCCACCCAGAAGAGTAGCTGGATGTACAGTAAGGAGTTTCCTGGGAAGGGTCAAGGCCTTTGACCTTAAGTTTTCTGAGATTCATTTTCAGGTTTTCTTTTTTAAAACTGCAACACCATTCTGTGAGTTTCGGGTTTGGATTTTATCAGTTGACATGCCCACCTTGTGTTGGCTGTCTCGTGGAAACCAAGTGGGGACCAGAAAAACAGCACTTTGGTGGCAAAGTGAAACAGATGCCCCTTGAAAAGTGTTACCACAGCCCAGCATGGTGGCATTAGCCCATAATCCCAGGAGCTTGGGAGGCTGAGGCAGGAGAATCACAAGTTCAAGGCCAGCAACTTGGGAAGGCTCTAAGCAATTTAGTGAGACCCTGTCTCAAAATAAAAAAATAAAACAATAAAAAGGGCTGGGGATGATGCTCAGTAGTTAAGTACCCTGGGTTCAATCCCTAGGATCGCCCACCCGGAGAAAAAAGAAAAAAGAAAAAGAAAAGTCACAGTACAGAACTGAGTGGGTGGTGTGGCCTTCTTGAGAATTAATGGTGGCCCTGGTTCTTTGTGGGCTGCAGGTGTTAGGCGAGGAGCACCAGTAGCAGSAAAGTAAAGTGGTTGGCAGCACCAATCTGAGCAGGAACATAGGCAAGGCTGGTTCAGGGTGCTCAGARCAGGGTTGCTAGGCTGCCTTAGAGGACAGTTTCAGGACACATGAAACAGCTGAGAGTTTCAGCAGGGAGGTTTTAAGTCCTCCTTCAAAAAGACTAAGGAAGAGAAAGGACTAGAGAGAAGGCAGTCACAGATAGGCAAAGTCTAGGCCTTTAAAAGGAAATACACAAACTTTCCAAGGTGGCACATGCCTGTAATCCCTGCAAYTCAGGAGACTTGAAGCATGAGATGAGGATCACAAGTTAGAGCCAGGCTGGGCAATTTAGAGAGACCTTGTCTCAAAACATAGAAAGAAAGAAAAAGGGACTGTGGACATAGCTCAGTGGTGGAGCGCTTGCCTAGCATGCAGGAGACCCTGGTTTCAACCCCCAGGGAAGGAAGAAAGTTGATACTGCCTGGCAGGAYAGAGGCAGAATGCACCAGAGAAGTAGTCAAAAGCCTTTCCAGGTGAGGTGGCCTGGAAAGTCCCCATTGTAGATTAAATATTGAAAGATCCCTTCAATTATTTATATGAGTATTATTCAAATAAAGTGATGATTCACCTTGTAGGGGTCACATGTATTCAACTTACTTGGATTTTTATTTTTATTTTGAMGTTAGTGCTCTGCAGAAAATCAGAATTAATTAGTCAATTATAACCAGAGGTGATAAAGCTCCTTGTGTGAGAGTATAATTAATATCTTTGGATGAAATTTTTGCCAAAGCCCATGCAAATATTAAGAAACTTAAGACACGTATAGTTTCATTTAGAAATGCAAATCATATTATACATCTTTTGCAAAATGACAAGTAAGACAGACTTTTCAACCTGAAACATCAAAAAGTAGGGAAAAAAAAACTTCTCTTTGCCAAAAAATATCGAAAACTTTGACAATCTATGTCCTTTGAGGACTATGTTGAATTTTTTTATTACTACACCTTAAGAAGCCACTTAACTATTTTTAAAAGCAGAAAGTGTTGCTGGTAATGCAATAGAGCCTGCAGGTTTGACCTCCTTGAATTGAGCCACCTAGGGCAGTTGACTTGGTGGGCAACATCCACAAGGTCACCTGGGCAGTGGCACTTAGAAATGCGAGCTATGTAGCCAAGCAAGGTTAGGGCATCTTTCCCAGTACACAGTGCATTCAATATCTGTATGTTTTGATTGATTTACTTTGTGAAGTTATTGAAGGTTTATATTTCCCAATGTTTCTAATTAAGCAAATTTAATTTTAATATGAAAAATAAAAGTTTACTTGTGTGCATAAAATTGAAAATACATTCTCTTCTTGTTTTCTTTCTTTTGGGGGAGGTAAGGAGTGGGGGACAAATCCTGAGAGAAAAATAAAAATAATGATGTCCAAATCATTTTTTTAACTTTATTTATTTTTATTTATTTATTTGTTTGTTTATTTATTTATTTATTTATTTATTTTTATGTGGTGCCGAGGCTCAAACCCAGTGCCACACATGTGCTAGGCAAGCCCTCTATCACTGAGCCACAATGTTCAAATCATTTTTAACATATCAAGAATTGCATTTATAATTGTGAAAATCGTGAAAATGTCTTTGGATGAAATTATTGCCTGAGAGGACAGTTTCAGGACACATGAAACAGCTCAGAGTTTCAGCAGGGAGGTTTTTAGGTCCTCCTTCAAAAAGACTAAGGAGAGAAGGCAGTCACAGATAGGTGACATCTAGGCCTTGATAAGGTGTTTTACTATCATGTCTGGCACAGGAGACTTTTGGAAATAAGAAACATAATCTTGCTGATGTTAAAGTGAACCGAAATGTGAACATTTCAAAACATACAAAACAACTAAGTGGCAATTAGACTCTTAAGATAAATGTCATATGCCTTCCTGTCTGACTTTTATTAATTTTAAGTATTTTCTTCAGATCCCTAGTTGTATGATGGTTTCTGAGTAGTGACCACCTTTGGTGACAGATTCGTCTCCCCCTGTTGTCCAAACAGATAAAATCAAGCAGTCTAGAAACAGCGAGGCGCTCCCTTCCCGTTATTTGTAAGCTGACAGGAGGGAGTCAGACACCTTCTGAAGTTTTATGCATGCTGTTTTCTCTCCTTGCTGCAACAAGAAAAGCCTTTCATTTTAACCTGGCTGTTTTTGAAGAAGTGACTCAGACACCTTCATGGCCTCTAAAGGTAAGAGTAAATATAGCCAGCTAATAAATTATCCTTCCAAATGACTAAAAACACAGTTATTGAGGTGTTATACTCAGCAAGACTGATACATTGTGGGCTGCTATTTGTTCCTTTTGAGTTTCTCATTTTAATTTTTTTTTACTTAAAGGAGTACGCAGCATTAACACACACACACACACACACACACACTTTATCTCATAGAATGTAAAAATTCAAATGTAAAAAAACATGTTTGCTTTCATGAATTTAATCAGCAAATTTAGAAAAAGAAGAAAGCTTCATACCAAATATTGAAAACGAGAATATTGAATGTCAAACCTAAGGAAAAGATGGAAGTTCTGAATTTAAAGGGATCTGAAGAAAACTTTTCGMATCTTAGTGAGAAGGCTTTTAAGTACAATTCAATAATTTTTAATTTCCCATTTGTTATGCAAACTATGTGATAAAGTATTTATACGAAGAACACAAGACTATGCAGTATTCAGGGAAGAAAATTAAGAATGTGTAATTGCAAGACTTTAAATTTGATTAACCACAAATGAATATTTCTTCTGGTTTATGAATTAAAAATTTTCACAATTTCTTTGATAGTAAGTTAATTTAAAAGAATCTAAAATATTTAATTTAAGCAAGTGAATCAATTAGGGACTTTGGAGACAAGGGTCTGGTAAATTTTTTATTATATCCTTAAAACTATAGAAATGCTGTTAGTGTTTTCTTAAGTTCTCAAAATATGTGGGTTTTTTCCCCCTCGAGGGAAATAAGTTGCAATTTCCCAGAAAACACTTGTGTAATTATATAAAAATGAAACTGTAACATGCCTTTGTTCCATTGTCAGAACAAACATTTAAACTCAAGGCTAAAAGGCTTTAGCATAAAGAATTATGATTTGTATAATTGGTGGAAACTTTTAAACCTATTTAAAATAAGTCCAAAAGTTTATAATATCCTAAATTAAATTAATGAACTATTAAAATATCCATACTTCCTTTTTGAAAGCATAGTTCAGACAGTATTTAATATTAAACAAATAATTTATTCTTTCCATTTTTTATTCACTGTTTAATATAGGCCAGTCCCTGAGAAAAAGAGGGAAAACTTACAGGCCAATTTTAAAATACATACAAGAAACAGCAAAATGTGAATTTTAATACATGCATACTTCATTGTCTATATTTAAAGACAAACAAAAACCTTGATCCAAATTTTCTTTCATTTAATAATAACACTAACACTTATTCCAAAACTCTTCATCACTTTATAAAATGAGAGTTACAGCAACACGGTAGCCTGTAAGGTAAAGAGTTGCAGAATACGTAAAATATTTATAAGCTAGTTATACATTTTTAAAAGAGTAGATAGAAATTCAAAGCCAGATAGAAATTCAAAGGATTTCCTTCTTCATCTGGTGGTCTGGGTCTTTGAAGAAACTTGTGACTAGAAAGCAATGCTATGATCAAAATGTGAGTAATCTACCCCCCAAAAAGCAGTGATGTTCTGTAATGATAAGGACTTAAGACTAAACTTAGAGGCAAAACTTTGAGTGGAGAAAAGAAACCCCCCCTTCCGCAGTTTACTGGTAAAATTTAACACGCGGTATGGGTATAACACTGTAATAGGCCCAATAGTTCTTCAAAGAATTGAAGTAACAATGAAGCTATATTTTCAGTTAGAAATATTGTTTGACTAGATTATATTGTTTGACTAGATGATAATCTGACTAGATTATCATCATCATAGATCTAAAACCTTTTTGAGGATTTTTCTTCAAGTTTATGTGAAGACACTACTTGTAACTTCATAATGGTTTCTGGCCCATGAACCTATATTTTTGGTTAGCATCCCCCAGGGAATACAGGTGAGGTGGACATTTCATAAGCAGGTCCATCTGCACTCCTAAAGCAGAGGGCAGTCTGAACTGGAGGACATCATGAGGAATCCTGAGGTCTGGAACCCCCGGTTCAGTATAAATAAGTACATTTAAGAACAAGTTGTCCTCAAATTGAGAACAAGTTTGAGAAAAGAACAAGTTTCTCTGGTGAAGAGAAACTATCTCCAGAGGTTATTGCCATGTAAACTGATATCTCAGAGAATGAARCAAGTGATCTCAGGATGGTGATCTCTCTCAACAGTCTGAGACAGAAACACAGCAATATTCCATTCCTGAATAAAGAYTTTGGGCACTGAATCCTCTGGGTTTCAAGTGCACCAATGCTTAAGGACCTGCCGTGAGTTTAAAGACCTAAGAACTTGGTGAGGAACATACAGTCATTTGCCCAACACTTAATAACCTACTGCACTGTGTTATAGTAATTTACAAGATAAAATTGGAGCAATTTGACAATCTTTAAAAAAAAGCGGGGGGGGGGGGGGGGGGGGAGTGAGATAGATCCTAATAATCTTATTCCAGATATTGTGTTAGAAATTAATCTTATGTGCTTTTTATTTTATTGGGAGGGGTGGTACCAGGGGTTAAACTCAGGGACACTCAGCCACTGAGCTACATCCCCAGCCCTAGTTTGATTTTATTTAGAGACAGGGTCTCACTGAGTTGCTTAGCGCCTCACATTGCTGAGGCTGACTTTGAACCCACGATCCTCCTGTCTCAACCTCCCAAGCCGCTGGGATTACAGGCATGCACCACCGTGCCTGGCCTTATGTACTTTTTAAATTGCAAGATAACATATGACCATTAAAATTCATAAAGAGCACCCTGTTGTTTTGATGTTTCTTAATAAAGGTGCATGCCTATACCCACCATCAAGAGAAAGATGTGCAACATTTCTGGCACCCCCTGAAATTTCTGTTTAGAACCATAACCCTGCGTTCCCATGTTCATTCCAAAAATGAACCTCTACTCTGAATTTTATCATGGTGAACTAGTTTTCTCTACATCATGTTTTTGCCTCTGTGTTTTTTGAAAATTAATGATGACAGTGCTTGTGGCACTAATACTGGAAAAGGATGTCGATTGCCTTTTAATATTTCCCAGATGCCGTTGCTATATTGGCGCTTACCTCACCTCCCAATTCAGAACTAGTGTTACATAGTCTTCCAGTAGGACTCACACTTGGGATCCCATTTCAGGGCCCCTTCCTGAGAGCAAGATGAGTTCGAAAGCTTGTCTTTTCTGTCCGTCCAAGATCTAAGAGAAGTTCAGGATGGGATTTCTGGGAGAAGCAAACTGTTAGAGTATCATCAGCTCTGTTTCAATGGGGTCAAATGACACATTTTTCCATTTGGTCATAATAGTTGAGCATCTCCTGTAAAGATTCTAAATGTCAAAGATCTGTACAAACTTAGCCATCCTACGTTAAGAATAATAAGCCAAATTTCTTCCCACAGCCTTCACATTCAGTAAATATATGGATCATCTGGCAATTGTCCTTCATTAACATTATATGTATACCCAATGCTAATGAGCCTGTCATTGCTAGAATCAAATTATGTCAGTATCCAAAAGGTCATTCCTCGAGTATCTTTATTTCCTCATCATTTTTTAATACCCATCCAGTTGCTCATTCAGGGTATACTTGAGTTTTCTTAGTGATGGGAAATGTATTATCTTCAAAGGAAACAATGCATTTTTTAAGATTTATTATTATYATAGTTGAGATGCAATAGACAGAGAAAAAATATGCCTCTTGTATTAGTCAACTTTTCATTGCTGTGACAAAAATATTTAACTAGAACAACTTAGGGGAGGAAAAGTTTATTTTGGCTTGTGGTTTCAGATTTAGAAAGGGAACCAACTTCATGGCTCTGGGCCCAAGATGAGGTGCACATCATGGTGGAAGAATAGGATGGAGGAAAGCTGCTCAGCTCCTGGCACCACCAGGAAGTGGAAGTGGGGATTTCAGGGGCCACAGTAAAGATAARCTATCTCCTACAGCCACACCCACCAGCCTACAGTTACCACCCAGTTAGTCCATTCACACTAGGAAGGACTGATCGGTTTATAGCCGCCATAATCCAATCAGTTTCTCTCCAAACATTCCTGCATTCACATAGGAGCTTTGGGGTAACACATCGTATCTAAACCTTAACACCTCCCATAAACATACTTTCATGAGTTTGGTGTCATTTTTTAATTAACAGCATTGTGATGTATTTTTATTGATATATATGTTACTTCACTATTAATATGTGCATAATGAGATATAATACTTCTTCAAAAATTTGAGTAGGTATTGTAAATTTCTCTTTTGTATAAATCCAGAACCAGTTTCCTTGTCCCTTCCATTCATGTGTCTTTAAAACAGTCAGAATCACATGCACCTATTGCATAATGAGATTGCAGCCATCTAGATGGAACAAATAGGACAGTGGTCCCATGAGATTATTGCCTACTGATGTCACAGCCACCTTCCTTTGTGAACTATACTTTATGGTGTTCACACAATGAAATTGCCTTATGACACATTTCCCAGAACATCAATCCACTGTTGAGCAATGCTTGACTGTACTTTGTTTACATAATGGCCTCTATCATTTCTGAAAATATGTCTTTGTTAGTCATGCGCCACACCTACACCCAATCTAAAACAACACAATGCACTAGCTAAATCTACTTGCAAAATTCTGATTCTTTGTGGAAAAAGATGAGAACTGAAAACACTTTTAGTCTTTGAAAAAAGACTCGCTATCCAATGACAGAGACACCCAAATGGAAGTTACATGAGAAGAAAAAGAGCAACTACTAGGAGCAAGTCTATCATTTATATATTAAAATTTWAAAAAAAAAGATTTTTGTATGCATCATGTTCAGGCGTTATACATAATAGTATGAAGAATAATGTATAGTAAATACATTAATAGTATACACTATAGTAAATACATAAATAACATCCCTCCATATTTGAAGTTCCAAATGTAAAATTCCTTTTTCTCTGACTTAGGGGTCRAGTGTTAGTGGCAAAAGTGGTGTAAATTAAAGAAAGGCCACTAAAAAGAGAGCTGCAAGAGATTATCTGAGCTAAGAAGTAACGCATTTTAAAATGGAGTAAATGAGTTGGCCTTAAGATTAAATATGTGTTGAGACTTTCATTCTCTTGCAGATGCACATACCCCAAAAAGCAGAGGGCTGCCTCGTTTTCTTCCTGGAGCTCCAGACCCAGAGCAAAACCCTAATCCAGGGAACCCAGAATGGCAGCCAGGTCTCACTCCACCAAGAAGCTTCTTGCCAACAGTCTGCCTCCCCCCTGGTCTAGAATATTTAAGCCAGGTATTTACATCTTTCTGTTTCTGTGAATTTTTTTCCCCTTAAAATTAATACAAACTTGATTTCTTGCTTTTTAACCAAATTTGAAAGATCTCGACCAATAATTTGCTAATGTGAGAAAGACATTATAAAGCATGAAATTATAAAATATTAATTTTAAAGTTATTTTGGAAGACATTTGTTTTATTGCTGCTTCTATTTTCCTTATTTACTTGACAGAGTGATGACACTAAGTATTTTTGATAGAGCTATTTAGCACATTTATCTACCTTATGTTCATTGCTCAAGGTGTTGGGAAATTTACCCTCAAGGAATTGTCTCATATGCTTAAGTCACTTACCGCCATTTAATTAAAGAATATTTATTGAGTATGTGCCATACTCAAGGCATATAAAAAGCATGAAACCTAGTCCCTCTCACCCAAACATTCTGCAATATTTTACAACAGCAAAACAAACAAAATATTGATAAATAGCGCAAGCCTGTGTACAAAATCAAGGTGAACACAAACTTGTAAAATACTCAGGGATATCGATCTAGGAGAGAAATGTTAAGCTTCAAAGAACATGGGAGGCTTCTGCAAAGAAGTGAGAATTCAACCTCTTCAACTGAATCTCCAAAAGAAGATGAACATCCAAGGGAAAATTAACATTATCATCTTCTGATACTGTGCATCTCTAGACCAATGGCTCAAAGATCATGTTACTATTAGGTACAGTCACTGTTCTGGTCATTGGAAAGGAAATAGTGATTCAAACCTTATAATAACTCAGYCTGAAAAGAGCATCATCCAAATTACATAGCAAAAAAAAAGCAATTGCTCTGTGTATGTATATGTGTCTGTGTCTGTGTGTGTGTATAATTGTTTTTGTATTTTATCCTATCAAAGATTAGAATCACACTGATATTGAGATGTCAGCACATCTGCTACAATCTTCAGCTTGTCTGGCATTCTTTCAACTATAAAGTCTCTCTCTTTTATCAAAATCAAATCTCTGTGTTAATTCCCTTAAGGTACAAGAGATGTCTGTTATGCCCGATAGGGTTTAAGCTGCATGCAGCATATGTTCCTGGGAAAATGTTTATAATTGCAGATGCCTCCTCCAGAAACCCATTGGCAGACAAATGTACTTCAGAGACTGGAGAGCTCAGGGAGATGTGTAAAAGAGCTGGAAAAGCCAACCTACCATCTTCCATCTGCAGAAAGGATCAGCTGTAATAGCTGACTAGAGTTGATTAACTGCTGCAAGCTGTTTGGGAATGTTGTCAGACAAGGTTTTGCCAAGTATAAAAGTGATATACCAGTGCCAGAGGGCTGAGGTTTGATGATCACATATGGTCATCACATATCCTTCTTCCACCCGTGAATGATGACACACCCGGGGCTAGATGCTTGACACAAATACAGCTTTTTTTTGTTTTGTTTTGTTTTGTTTTTTATCATTCAATGAATAGACATATGAACTCTTTGGCTTCAATCTAAAAGGTAGAACATTTCCTAAAAATAAATTTTTGCTAAACTTTTTTCAGAAAACAAAATATACCACAAAATTGTCGAACCCTTTACATGGAAAGGGAATGATAACCTACTTTATACTAAAAGACATGTATCCACTTTAAACCAGCGCACATACAAAAATAAATAAGCATTTCAAAGGTGTTCCATCATAGATCTGGAAGACACACAAAAACAAATGAATTTTTAGGTGCTAATTTTGAACTAAAAAATCCATCAAAGATCATGAACATTTGGTGATATTACATGTTCGATAAATAAATAAAATCTATAATAAAAATCTCTTTATATTAAAAAGTTAAATGATTATTAATTTTTATTTTATTATCTATGAATCAAGCCTATCTTATGACTATTGAGAGTATCATTTTCAAAAACAAAGATAAACATACATATATACTTACATAAGACATCAGTTAAATCTAAGAACAAAATCAATGGATGCTTTCTAGATTGGATTTGCATTCAGAATAGTCAATGGCATTTTATCCTGTGGTGTGAAAGGACAATTAATTATCACAATTTACTCACCTATAGGTAAGACTAGTAAATTAAAGGCACACGTAATTTGCAATTTATTTTTGAAATACATATATGAAATGAAATCAATGATACCTGTAAACTTGATTTAAAATATTTTAAAAAGAATTGCATCTGAAGCTGAATATCCACGGCTGTGATTGTGTTTTCATTTCTACAGCTCTCATACTTAAGGAATAATTTACTTGCCCTGACACCTGAATATATAATTCAATCTGTTTAAAGTTTGCAACACTTTCTATTTCACCAACCAATAGAAAAGGATGGAAAGGGCCCATTTGGACCTTGGTTTATAAGTGCCTCAGGGCGATTTAAAGGAAACTACAAGAACAACTTAAGTCAAGATGCTCAAATCCATGAGGCTTGTCCACTGAGAGAAATCAAATCCAATCTTATTACAGAGGATGAGGTAAGTATGAGAGTGAGGAAAACACAGAGGAAGGGCATGCAAGTTTTAGAGTGTCCCTTAAGAAGTCTTTCCTCTTGTCCCTTGGTCTAGTGATGGCAGTAAAGTGAAAGTCGAAGGCACGTCCAAACTGGTGGCCCCTTATGTAAGCTGTGATCTTGGGAAATTTCCTGAATACTGTTTCCTCATGCACTAAATTAGCAATATCTATCTGAGTTTTTGTGAAGATTATATCAGTGATTGGGTTAAAATATGTAGCACAGTCACTAACCCCATTGTAGCCCATCAGTAACAACCACTACATCAGAGAGGTACAACTTCCTTTTTCTTTGTGAGGTCGCTCTCAATTGATAGTTTCAGATTTTCAAGACTAAAATTCAACTCAAGGCATCAACATTCAGAGTTCCTAAACTCAAGCACTTTAGACCTGACCCCACAGATCTCAATCACTATGCTACTTCTGCACAAATCCACTGCTAAATAATCACATAGACCCTTTTGACACCTTTTCTTTTCCCACGACTCTTCATTTTCCCAGATGTAATGCAACACACTACAAAAAACTTTTCTAAGTTTTTAAGAAACTGTCTGCCACAATTGTTGATATGGTTTTAGAATAAAATTATTTGAGAAAAATATTTTGGGAATCTTAAAAAATAGTTCACATGTAGTCTTTTATCAATCATCAGATTTAAAAACAGGAAATGGTATAGATTTTATCCCCAACTCAGGATATACAAATGAGGGGATAATGTAGCTTCAAATTTTCTGGGTATGTGGTATTCAATCGAGAACCAAGTTTTATCAATCATTGGCTTGGTTCAACAATTCCTGGAGTGTTTATTAATGTGATGCAAGAATAAAGCACAGAAAATGTGGAGGTGAAATAGAGAGTGAAACATTAGAAAATAAAATGATCATCAGTATTTTCAGTGTTCATAATTTTGCTTAGTGAATTTCCACCCTTATTTTATTTTATTTGTGTATGTACTGGGCATTGAACCCAAGAGTGCTTTGCCACCAAGTCACATCATCCCCAGCCCTTTTTTCACTTTTTATTTTGAGACAGGTCTTGCTAAATTGCTTAGGGACTCACTAAGTTGCTGAGGTTGGCCTTGAATTTTCAGCCCTCCTGCCTCAGCCTCCCAAACCACTGGGATTACAGTCGTGCGCCACTTCACTCAGCTCTTCTTATTTCTCTTAAAAAATCATTTTTCATTACATACTTTTTAATGTCATTTCTTACCTGTCTTGGATAGCTTATGTGTGAAAATTGATCTCATTGTAATTATGTTACAAATTTATGTCACTATTCAGTAGCAAATCTCTTATTCTGCTTAATAGATATTTTCTTGGGATCTACTGGTTTCTTTCTTTCTTTCTTTCTTTTTTTCTTTTGTAGCCCAAAGGTAAGTGAATGAGAGATGTTCATAGTATAACTTCTTTTAAAATTTAATTCCATCACTAAGAGGAAGGAGCTGTGACTGAGGAATAGGGTTTGAAGGGAGAGGTTAGTCATTCAAATCATCATTGTCACTTTATTTCTTTGAGTTTTAAAACATCTTAGGTCTTATTATTCAGAGATTAATAGAAATTTTTTCAAAGGTTATCTTCTTTTCTTTCTTTATCTTTCTTTCTCTCTCTCTCTCTCTCTCTCTCTCTCTTTCTTTCTTTCTTTTGTTTTTTGTTTTGTTTTATTTATTGTGACAGAGAAAGTTAGCAGAATTAACCACTGTTGCTTTTCCTATTCATGGCAATTCTTTCCTTCAGTTTTAAGGGTTCCTGTAAAATTTTTGTGTGAATATAAAACATTTTATCCTCTTCTTAATTATGAAATGTGAGCTGTTTTCAACCATTCTAATAGAAAACATGACAATCATCTGTTTTGTGTATTATAGTAAGGAGATTAATAGTAATCTCTCTGGACGTTTTCAAAGCATTGTGATGTAATTCTTTTTGTTTCCTTTCTGTCATCTTTTCACAGTTAGACCTGATAATTATACACCAGCAGGTGGAGCTTCTTGGAAGTAAGTGTATTACCTTCCACATTTATTAAAATTGTTGAAAATATTTTAGTTCTCAGAAGTTTCTTCACATCTAAATATGTTCAACTGAGCTGGGGATGTATCTCAGAGGTAGAACGCTGGGGTAGCACATGTGAGGCTTGCCTAGACCTGGGTTCGCTCCTCAGCACCACAAAAAAATAAGCAAATAAAATAAAGATATTTTGTCCATCTAAAACTATAATAATAATAATAATAATAATAATAATAATTTGTACCATAGAGTTAAATATATAGAGAGAAGAATTATATCAAAATGAGCACTTGGTCTTTTATTTAATAAAAGCACCAAGTAAAAGAATTAGTATGATTTAAATACAAATAGAAAACTCTAAGTCTTTGGTGCTATTACTATTCAAATTCTAGCATTACATTTAATGTTAAATAAAAAATATATTTTAGCATTCCCAAAGATGTTAGTCATTTACATTTCTTAACATGTTCAGAAATGGAAATCAAGGTTGAAACTAAATAACAAAAATCTACCAAAATTATAATATACCACGGTTTTATGGGTTCCTCAGTGATTCACCAAACAGGAAAATTATTTCTCAGGACACAAATATATGAGGATGACTAACTGATTTCAAATTACTTAAGTGTTTTCTGTTCTTAATAGTCTATGTTATTCCTAAAATGTTTCAAAATTGAGATACATTTTTAAATGGAACATAGTTGTAGATGTATTATCAGATAGAGATTTAGACACAATCATCACTATTACTATAAGTTGTCCCAAACTTGCATAACAATGATGAAGCTATTATTTGAAAAGTAGATTCTTGATAGCATTGGTTCTTTAGCAGACAAGTGCATGAGTAGTAATAGTTCGGCAATCACAGTTAATTAATTACATAGCTTTGTTCTCAGATTTTACCTTGATAAATAGATAAGACCTCAAATTTTAGAGCATAGAAATAGATTTGTATAAAGAATAATAACCTCTACTTATTTTAAAGGGTTGATACTGACCTAAACATTATTTTATAAAATAAAATAATTTTTTTCTCTATTAGTGATACTTGGCACTGAGACTTCTAACAAATATGAGATTAAAAATGGCTTGGGACAAAGAATTTACTTTGCAGTGGAAGAAAGCATTTGCTTCAATCGTACTTTCTGTTCCACTCTGCGATCCTGCACCCTGAGAATCACAGATAACTCAGGTCGAGAGGTGATCACAGTAAACAGACCCTTGAGGTGTAATAGCTGTTGGTGCCCTTGCTACCTGCAAGAGGTTAGTCTCTGGATTTTTCTTTTGTTCAAGGTTAGTCATTGTTTCTTTAAGTGATATGATATTTGTCTGGAGCTATGGAACAATTAACCTTTCCTGTGTTAAATTAGTATGTTGCTCTTTAGGATCAGAAGAGCTTGAGGATTTGGGGAGTCACTAAATTTTTCCCTTTCCAACCAAAGACAGGTGGCCTCCATGATGTTAAATGGTTAAGACAGCTCATGCACATGAGATGCACCTCTTGGACTTCTGTACTAGATATATTGTTGTGACATCTATACACTCCACCCTGGGCAGATACACCCTTGTCTTCTGCAAGAGTAGTAAAGTTCAGGAGGTGCTAATGATGCTATTAGTCTAGAGGCAATGATTCAGTCATTTAATCATAAAATACAATTGCTTTTTATCATTATTTAATTGACCTATAGCAATAACTTTCACTGACATATTAATTTAACTTAACAGCAAACTTTTCCTTACTTTATTGACTTTTATATGACATTTCTATGAGCTAGTAAACAAGTTTCACTCTGCACTTTTTGCAGTTAAGGAAACTGGTGTTCACAGAATGGAGGCGCTGGTTCATGATCACACACCAAGGGAATGTTATTTGTCAAGCTTGATCTAAGTGTCCTGATCTAGTCCCCAGCTTCTCTGTTGAAGTCCTGTATCCTAAATATTGTTCTAAGTGTTATCAAAAGCTCTGCCCTTGGACCAATGCCAATCCAATAACAAGGACACAGTTTTGAGAGAAAGGAAAAAAAGTTTTATTACTTTGCTAGCAAAGGAGAATCAACCCCTGTTGTTTCAGAGGTTGTGGTTCTCCCCACTAGGAGGAACAGGAGGTTTTTAAAGAGGTGATTCAAGGGCTCCATTCCACATGTTCTCTGTGTTAATTTGGGAGATAGTCATTTCTGAGATCTTCTGGTGCCATCCCCAAAGTCTGAATTAATTTGTTTCTGTAGTGGTTGTGTGCTCATGGACACATAACTCTTCCTAGGATGGGGAAGAAAGGTAATTCTGTTTCCCCTGAGAGTAGGGAGAGGGAGAGAAAATGGGGGGAAAAGAAAGAAACATGTCTGTTTTTTAAAATAAGTCACATATCGATGTTCATAGCAGCTCAATTCACGATAGCAAGACTGTGGAACCAGCCTAGATGCCCTTCAATAGATGAATGGATAAAAAAAAA